CGGGGATTCAAACCAGGAACCTCCTCACAGAGAGACTCCTGAAGGACGGAGATTCAAACCAGGAACCTCCTCACAGAGAGACTCCTGAAGGACGAGGATTCAAACCAGGAACCTCCTTGCTGTGATTGGACAGCGCTGACCACCATGCAGCTCTGTTTGTTATAACTGAAAGTGAAAAAGTTGGCTTGTTCCAGAGAATCTCAGAAGAATAAAACAGACATCAATCAATCAATCAATCAATTTTGATTTTGTATAGCGTCAACTTATAACAAGTGTTATTTCTAGACACTTTACAAAAAGCAGGTAAAAGACCTTACTTATTGTTATGTTACAAAAAGCAGGTAAAAGACCTTACTTATTGTTATGTTACAAAAAGCAGGTAAAAGACCTTACTCATTGTTATGTTACAAAAAGCAGGTAAAGAGATGAGAGAGAGAGAGAGAGAGAGAGAGAGAGAGAGAGGTGCCAGTTCCCCCGGTAGTCTAAGCCTATAGCAGCATAACTAAGAGCTGGTCTACACCAGCACCAGCCCTAACTATAAGATTTATCAAAAAGGAAAGTTTTAAGTCTATTCTTAAAAATACAGACTGTGTCTGCCTCCCGGACCCCGGCTGGAAGGCGGTTCTAGAGGAGAGGAGCCCGATAACTGAAGGCTTAACTCCCATAGTACATTTAGAGATCATATTTCTTTCATAGATTATATTTCTTTCTAAAGCTGACAATGTGGCGTGCATCCGGTGGTCGATCAGTCGGTAAAAAGCTGCAGGAAGTCAGAAATGTAATACAACAGTTTGTTTTGCTGTTCAACCTCTCGCCCTCTTTTAGTGACGGGTAATATTCTCGCTGCACCCCGAGGCACGTCGAGGCTCGCACATTAAAAGACACATTACTGCTCCACTTAGACGGGTGACATGATAATTATCTGGAGGTCATTTCTGACAGGGAGGGGATTTTTTTCCCCCAGCTTTTGATGAAACTCACCATGGAGACAAAGAGAGCGCAGAGATTTCTCCATCTCACAGAAGAAGAAAAAAAACGAGCATCTGATTTGTGTGTCCTAAACTCTAAGCAAGCTGAAGAGGCGGATGAGTCTCATAAAACATATATTACATTAGGGCTTTGGGGAGATGAGGAGCGGGATTTCTTGATGCGATTAGAATTTATCAAAGAAAGTTTAGCCTCCTCTGTTGACGTGTCGGCTTAGATATACATTGTGTTTCTGAACGTCGGAGTAAACCGGTTCTGGCAGCTGTTTCCTGACTCCTTCTCCTGACTTCAAGTAAATGACTGTCTCAGAAAAATAGAGGCTCTTTCTCACTTCAGTTTCCAGCCTCAGAGGGAATTGGCATACAGCACAAAGCTCGGAGCAATCTAACCTGTGCAGGTGACTCAGAAAACAGGTCGTACATAAAACCGATGCTGCAGAGGCCGTGCATGGGGAAAGTTTCTCAGGGGATTGGAGGCAGAACTTTAGAGGCACCTGGTCTTATTCCAGGGTGAGGTGAATTTAAAATCAATTATGAGCTAGCCGGGATTATTGACAGGAACCACCCAGTCATTACAGCGTGTGAACAAAATGACTTTTCTGGGGAACTTTCATTAATTTAGCTGAAATGGAACTGAGAGCAGCAGCCCTGCAAGGCCACCGACCGATCAATGGAAAGCAACCGCACAAAAATACCAACAAATCCTCTCTGATCAAAGCCAGCAGGAGGCAAAGGAACAAAATGTGTTCCATTAGATCCCAACAATCAACAACACAGAACATGTAGCGATATGAATCTACTGCTGCTGGAATAACTGAGGATGTATAATGAGTCATTTACTGTGAGCGTATTTTATGCTAGAGGATCTGACATTTGATGGTTTTATACTGTAATCCTTTGTTTTCATATTTGCTGCATGTGTGTTGAGTCTTTGGAAACCTCTTTAAAGCAGTCACATCCACCTGTGTTCAGTCCATTAAAAAGGATGACACGTCAAAATGGTCCTCCGACCCTTAACAAGCAGATACAAGTTTATAACTTCCAGACATTATCTACCGCTTCTCCCGCTCGGACTGTCCTGTAGCCCATCCCAGTTTTCATTGGGTACACCCAGCGGCAACCTGCTGCAGTTCCTCGAGTGCCCACTAGAGGCTGGCTGCAGAGGCACAGGAAGTCACATACATACCCATTCTAAAAAGCCTGTTTTTACAGCAGAGATTAACATGTTTACAGCCTGGTTAAAAAAACAAATAGGTCTGATTAGATAACCTTCCATGGGCGCTAAAATAACCATCAACTTCATAACTTTGTGGTTTCTCTGGCCCTTTTCAAATTGCAGTTCAAGCCAAGGTATTTACGCCCCGGTTACGTTTCGTCTTCAGTCTGAATGTTGCAGAGGGTAATAGGGGGAAGAAGTCATCCACTCTCTGTACCGTATTCACAGGTAGTAACAGAGGCGCTATAGACGAGAGACTGTTTCAGTGGAGCCAGCAGAGTCAATCTGAATATACAAAGACGTGGTGACAGCTGAGCTGTGTTATGACAATGTTGCAAAAAAAAAAGCGTCCTGAAAAGGGCTACCGTCTGTTTCTCACGCTGCTCTGTTCCTTTGAACATTTTTCAGATTCTGACCCTGAAAGAATCCAATTAGAGGGACAAAATAACTCATCACAGGTGAGTCTGATAACCTGAAGCCGAATGCAAACCTGTTGTGATACAGTCTGTTATCAAACCACTGGAGTGTGTCCTCGTGAGTCTGTGTGTGTGTGTGTTTGTCCTGTGGCAGACGCTGAGCTCAGATAAAGACATGTGTGGTCAAACACGCACACTTTGATCTGATACTCACATTTCTATGAATACATGAGCAGCCAGGATGTGAACAGGGACAAATAGAGGGAACGTCCACTGCACCAGACAGTTTAGAACCAAGCAGCGACCTTCGCTGTTGAAACATGAAGCCAATGCTGAAGTGTAAAATCCTGCAGTTCCTGGAGTGTCCACTAGAGGCTGGCTGCAGAAGCACAGGAAGTCACATACACACCCATTCTAAAAAGCCTGTTTTTACAGAGATTAACATGTTTACAGCCTGGTTCAAAAAACCAAATAGGTGTGATTAACTCATGTCTCGATCGACACACACTGCACACATATACGTAGTGAATGTTCACATAGACATGTGTGACTGGAAGATTCCTCTAGAGGGAGCACAACACTAATCAGATGGTAGTTGCGGACGTGATCGATTGACTCTTCTGTCTTCAAAACTTTCCTCCATTGTTGTAGCGGCTCTCTGGTGTCTCCGATGTTGTCACTTCCGGTCTCATCAACAGACAACTCTACACTGCTCCTAGTGGTTATATGTATATTGCGTCTTGCGGGCGCATATCGTTAATTTCTGAGGACGTGCACAACCAACGCTCCAAACCAGCGCAGGATACGCAAGGCTGATATCATGCGTTTGCGTACACGTAGTATACTCAGGGCCTTAGGGGCGTAGCTGAGATGATTGACAGGTGGGCGCGGTGTAATGGTTTGTCAGTCGGTTTAAAACCTGCCTCAGCTCCAGCTCTCAGCCTGTCGTTAGGTTGACTGAAAGTTAGACTGAGACAGCATTTCCAGCATGGAGACCGCCATCGATGGGACTCCAGCGCCCCCTGCAGGAACAGACGGGTGACATCACTCAGGCTTCAAATATTCATATTTACAGTCTGTGTTTAGAAGCGACCAGAAAAAAAAAGAGACCTTTTTTTAGTTGTGTTAAAGGTGGAGTTTGGATTTCTTATCTGTCATGCTGGAGGTAAAATCATTAAATGAGGGAGGACAGCAGTGAGGGCAGGAAAAATCAAATCCCATAGTAAGATAATCTTGTGAAACCGTTCGACTGTAGAAGTTATTTTCATTCTAATATGCACTTGTACTTTCCACCCACAGCCTTTCTCTCACATCAGGTAGAGGAGTAAGACAGGTATTAACCTTCCAAGCAAACAGCGCTCGTTACTGAGTCGTGTTTCTGCAGCTCTGTGATAGATTACCTGCAGGTTGAAAAACATGCTTTTAAATCTCTTGTTTAATTAGATTCTCCCCAACAAAAGCAGAGAGGTGACTAACTTTGTGTTGCGGTGAAAAGCCGTGTGTCACAGAGCTCCCTGTGATCTCTGATGGAGGCTGATGAAATTAACAGATTACCTCCGTGCTCCAGCCGCGTGTCACTCTTTGTTTATGAGGCTGAATGCAAATGTTCTCCGCCTCGGGCGTGTTTCATTATTTGTGGATGAATCTGTGACTGCTTACCCATAAAAATAAAAAAAAAGAGAGACCAGACTGTGACAGATTCACGGCTCGCAAAGCAAAGCAAGCTTTTTCGTAAAAGCAAACATGTCCTGCAGACATGGACACGACAGTGAGAGGGAAATCATAGTGAACACTGTGAATCATCATCATTTGCATATTTTACTCTTTATTCCCGCGGGATTTTGTAGTTCTCCTGTGATGTGTCATGGTTGCGCTCCGCTGCGCTGACCTCCCAGAAACGGATCCAGTGTGAATGGGCATGAGCCGTCCGACGGAGCAAAACCGTGGCGCTGACAGACCGTGGCATGCATGGAGTATGTGTGAATTGGGGGTCACAGGGCTTCAAACTGACGGCCAGGAAATACCGTCATTCCTGAGGGAGGCTGTCATCACCGTAGATTATCAGTATCTGTTCATAAAGAAAGCCTTTTAAATGCTAAATTATAATTTTATTCTAATGAGACTGTTCTTGTGTATTTCATGGGCTTATTGACTTCTGATTATTTCCCTGCTCAGCGTTAGGCACCTGAGTCTAAAAACACCCTCAGCGTTCTCACTGCTGCACTCGTCAATGCCACTTCCCCCTCATCAACCAATCAAAACAAGGAATGGGTGGGACTTCTGATAACAATTTTGGGGGTCAGAGGTCAGGCTGAAATCAAAGCTGACTCATTTGTTTCTCCTGCTGATAGAAAGAAAACCAGTTGAAACCGTTTTAATGAAATGTACAATCATTTAATATGAATGACAGATTCTCTCCTACGACTTAAGTTTTATAAAAAATACAAATATTTTCTTTCACAGAGACGAACGTTACAGCAAAAGTTTATCAGCCGGTTATTCAAAAGAAGGAAAGTTCATATATCGTACATCAGTGGAGTTCATGGAAGCGAATACGCAGAAGAGTTTAAATACTTTGAATAGATTTTTAAATATCCCAAAAAATGCAAAACACAGATCTTTGCAACAAAAGCACACATATATTAAGAAATCATTGCAGACAAAAAGTGGACTTTCATGCAGAAGCTTCCCTTGGCTAGCAGAGCAAACACGGAGCAAAGAAGGCAAAGCAGAGTCTGGATCAGCAGCAAAGAAACGTGAGTCCAACGTGTTAGTATCAGTCGGTGGCGTCCATGTTAAGTCCAGACGAGAACGCAGAGCCACGGTTCAGAAAAGTTCAAGAAGTGGCGAGTAAAGATCCCGCGGTCCATATTTGAAAAGGAGCCACGGTTAATCAGGAGATCCTGGTATCACAAAGGACGGAGCTCCAGGTGTGTCTAAAAAGTTTAAGAGTCATCGTCCGTTTTTATGACGTGGAACAGCGTGACGTTAAATACCACCTGGTGTCCGTTGTTCCACGTGTTAGTATCAGTCGGTGGCGTCCATGTTAAGTCCAGACGAGAACGCAGAGCACGGTTCAGAAAAGTTCAAGAAGTGGCGAGTAAAGATCCCGCGGTCCATATTTGAAAAGGAGCCACGGTTAATCAGGAGATCCTGGTATCACAAAGGACGGAGCTCCAGGTGTGTCTAAAAAGTTTAAGAGTCATCGTCCGTTTTTATGACGTGGAACAGCGTGACGTTAAATACCACCTGGTGTCCGTTGTTCCAGGCGTACAGCGCCCGCTCTCTGGCGTTGTAGTCGAGCATGGAGATGTGGAAGTACTGGTTGTGGAAGGGGATGTCGATGTACTCGTAGGTGGATGTCTTGGTGGAGAAGGCGTAGTACACCTTGGCTCCTGACAGGTGTGAGTTAGTGATGTAGAGCGTACCGCAGATCATGAAGGACTCGCCCGCGTTCCTCTTCGAGTACTCCGTGTTCCACGTCTTCAGGACCTGCAGCGTGTCTGGGTCGATCTGAGAGATCACCACGTTTCCGGCGTTCTGATTGGTCGCGTACACGGCCCACATTCCCAGCTCGTCCGCCATGACGTCGATGTCTGAGTATCCTCCCCAGGTGTATGGGTACATGTTGTGAAAACCGGCGAACTCCAGCGCTCTCTGAGCCAACACGCTGCCTGACTCGAAGCTGTACTTCACGATGATGTTGCTCTGGTACTTGTTGTAGTAGAGCGAGCCGTTGTAGACCATGTGATTGGTTCCCTCCCACTTAAATGGGAGGCTGTAGGTTCTGGAAACAGCGCCTGCTACGAAGTCGTCCATTGTCTTGTACTCGCGCACAATCTTACTGTTGGTGTAACTGTCCATGTACCAGACCTGCGTCAGACAAGGGGGAGAAAGGGGGAGTAAGAAACACCAACAGGCCTTTTCTCACCTCATTTTAAAGACCCACTCCAGAGCTTCATTTCTATTTTAATTATGGAAACACTGACAAACACTACAGAAAGCTCTTCTGGATGTTCTAACCCTTCTCACCGTAAACAATAGAGCGCCACAGGAAGGAGTCCTAAAACCAGGAAGTAAGTTAGCATTTGAGCGCCATGGGGTCTATCGTCTAAAAGTCAATGTGGATTTTAAATGGGTTTGTGGTTAGACGCCTGAAATAAGGTCTGTGGTTAACACAAGCTTTAGAGATGTTGGTGTTTTGTTAGACCACATAAACTACGTTAGGTAATACCCCCACTTGTGAATTTTGAAGTTCTTACTCGTCTTTAAAAAGGCGGTTGCTAACAAGTGGCTAAATGTGACTACAGTGTTTGTCGGGGACATTAAACGTCATCACGCCGGACACAGAGGGCGGGAACTCTCTCACTAGTCTGAGATGTCTCCTGTAGGTTTAATCTTTAGGTTAAGGTGAATATTATGTTAGTAAACTATTTATTAAGCTGATTAATTTATCAGTGATCGTCTGAAGAATAACGTGACGTCAGAATCATCCGAACGTGGTGTAGTTAGCTTGTAGCATAACGTTAGCTTTTTACTTCTGTCGGCTGCATTAACGCTTCAAACATCATAAAAATGGTGTTCATCTGTGAAGATTATCCTGCTGAACAGGAGCAGGGCTGAAATAGAGGGGTTTATAGACATGATCCTGTATTTGATCATGTCTATAAACCCCTCTATTTCAGCACAGGATTTAGAACAAGAAACTTCTCACACATGTTTTGAGGAGCTCTGAGACTTATTTAAACTGGATGAAGAGGAGGAGGATATGTCACCTTTAAACTATATTTTCATTTCAGAGTTATCCATGTGGGGAGGTATACAACAGGCCTCTACTGTACAGCTTCCTGTGGGCATGGCCCCGATAAGACAACAGAGACTACACAAAGTAAAGGTGATTTCTATCAGCTCCGACCAGGTGTGTGACTCCAGGAACAATAAAGACTGTGGAGGGACAGCAGGGTCAGACCGGCAGGCTGCCATGAGCCATAAACGGCAAGAAATCCAGCTTTTACTGAAGGATCGTTCACCCAGATTTATGTTGCCTGAACGAATGAAAAAAGAAAAAAGACGAAACTGGTTCCCATCCTGAAGCACAAAGTCCAGTTATTAACCATGCCTCTCATTTATCAAAACAAACTTGAAATGCTGGAGTGGGACTTTAAAGCTCAAACCTATAAATGACTTCTCTAGAGTATAAAACCTCCATGGTAACAGTCTGTCTGCAGAGATTCTGTCTACTTTGAAGACACAATAAATATTACACTTTAACATTGCAGAGCCCTTAGAGATGCCACCCCCCCTTCCATAACTCACCCTGTTGTTTCTGGTCGATGCCACAGGATCAGTCATCCATGCACCAAACCGGGTTCCAGATGTCTTTATTGTCGCAGGTCCAGTGATTTTCATTAATTTCCCACACGCTGTTAATAGAGAAATGCAGCGATAAGATGTGCTGTGCTGGGTTTTGTCTCTAACTAGATTTCTCAAGCCAATTTCATGCCTGTGCCACCAGAGTCTTCGCCCTCCGTGCATACTAAGAAAGCTCTGCATGGCACAGAGTGGGAAGCAAACTGCTGCAACTGCTGTCTCCAGCTCTGGACGTGTTTCCATTTCAAACAACGTGCACAAATATATTGTTGAATATCATAAAAAGTATGCAGAATAATTTGGTAAACTGTGAGAGATTATGTTTGTGCAAAATAATCAAAATACAAAGATGAAATGTAAACAAATAGCCACCCTGCTCGCTCACAAATAACACTCACAAGACCTCTGACACGAACCAAAACAATACACATAAATATACGCATGACTTTAATATGTTGACTCACTTAGACCACTGCCATGGGCGTATCTAAAGGGGATAACCAGGGGTGGCATCGGCCCCCTAAAAATCTGATTAAATAAATATTTTGCACATCTATTTCATAAGACGGGGACATGGGTAAGCAACGCACACACTCTGTCTGACCTGTAACATGTCGGGACCAAAACACTGCCAACTGTGCAGGACTTAGCATGCACATCAGTACTTTAACTTGTGACTTTGAACATCTTCTTCGTGTGTCATTAAAGCTTTTGCTGCCATTATCTTGTGTTATAAAGTAGATATTATTGATGAGGATACAACGGGTAAATAATGTATATTTATTTGTGTGTGTGTTTGTGAGCACATCACACTTCAGGCCACCCCTGCATGAGTCAGAGCCTCAGTTTGGTCACCGCAGTAAAGAAAAGTCTAGACACGCCCCCTGGCCACTGCAAATAAAATGAGAGCGTGAGATATTTGGCGGGACGACGAGGCCAAAAACTTGTGGGTAGATTAAATGGATTCTCCGGTTTAAGATATTGATCCTGGCTCTCCTGCAATTTGTTGCTTTAAACGATTAAACATTTTAATATGTGAATAAAGAAAAGTTTATAACAAATCAAAAGATACAGAAGAACAGTCATTAATGGTTCTTTTCTTTACAGGGTAAGAGACCAGGATTTAAAAACCTTTCCACTGACCCCATCATGTTGAGGTTTCTGTTTTGAAATGTGAGCAATCAGGGAGCGATCATTTCTGAGGCAACATCAGGTCGGTCATGAGGAGAATATTGGGATTAAATGCTTAAAAAAAAAGCATCATGAAAATGTCTGGCTTGCATTAAAAAAGTTGAGCTTGCATGAATACACACTCTACATGTTTGCATAAGTTGTGTCGGGTGTAAGTTTCTTTTTGTGTCTTTGCATTGTGTTTGTATTTAGTCTGAACGCAGAACCTCATATTTCCAAACAACGAGGACAAAAGCAACAGACTGTCGTCTTTAGTCGACATTTCCTCTTTGGCTTTTTCCTCCAGCAGCAGCAGCAAAACATCAGCCAACAATTTAAAACCTTTAGTTTAATTTCTGATGTAATGCCACTTCAGACAGCTCTAAGTATCTGCTACATGTCATGTGGCAGTGAGCCTCATGCGGTTTCAGGACTTACTCAGTTTGCCCATACAGCTGCGCAGCCGGCTGTCCAGTTTCAGAACTCTCTTGTAGAGCTCGTCGTAGTCGTACGCTCCGAGCTCCTCCTGGATCCCCGTCAGCACCGCTGACAGGTTCCTGATCTCCTCCTTAAACTGCGAGATGAGCGCTGCGTCCATCTTGTACTGCTCCAGCACGGGGATCAGCGGTTTCAGCTCGTCCATCTTCTCCTTCAGCTCCTGCAGAAACCACGGCGACAGCAGCAGAAATGTGAAACCGAGAGAGGCAGGCGGAAGGTTTGTGTGAACGGTGTGAGGGTCAGAAAAAGATAACTTTGGTATAAAAATCAAACGCTCCCTGCTAACATGTTAGCATTGCAATGACTGCTTTATTTCCACATTATGCCCGAACACTCTGCAGTCCGTCAGCAGCACGACATGAGCAGCTGTACTCCCGGGTTCTAGTTTTAAAATGACCAGACGCTCTGTGTGTCCTGTTTTCCTGTTCAGGTCGGTCTACTCTGTTCAGCTCCGTTAGACGGTAACAGGTAAAGGATGCCACACACAGTTTCTCTCAACGTGTCAACTCATTGTCCCGTATCAGATCGTGACCTCTCTGAAAGTCGACAACTGCTCTGAAGATCAGTGTGTATTTCTTCTAAGTCCTTCTCTTTGTGTCGTACCTTTCTCTCTCTCGTCCCATGTTTTCTGGTTGCTCACCTGCGCACTCAGATGTTTGTAATTATCTGGTAATTACGGGGAAAATTGTGCTCTGAGAAAGAGGCTGATTGTGTGTCTGCTTGCTGGTTGTAACTTAGCTTGTTTTTAAGCATGCATTGTTCATGCTTTTAGCATTTCTCTCAGAAGAGCCACTGAATCCAGGCTTTGTTCCTCTTGCCATTAGAGCGCCGTCTTTCTCTTTTTCACATTAAGGAGCACCTTTATCCAGCTTTGTTTGAATTCAGAGCACTGAAGACTCTTTTCTCTGTAAACTCATCAGCCACTCTGCAGAGTTCTCCTCTGATAAGCTTCTCAACAGAAACACGATGAATACATAATTTGTTATCCAATCAATGTTCAACTAAAAGCATAATTTCTCAATCTACAGCCTGGCCATGACAAAGCTCCTCCACCACTGCGCCCAGCACTCAGGAGGACTTTATCAAATCTATGTTGTTGTTTTTTGAGGTTATGTAGTGACAATTTTCATGAAGGTGTTCAAATGTCACTTAGGTCGTAGAACTGTGGTGCCGAGTAGCCTAGCCGCTATGTTGCGCTCCCCGTGTACAGAGGTTATAGTCCTAGTTGCAGCGGCCCCGGGTTTGAATCCGACCTCGGCCCTTTTCTGCATGTCGTCCTCTCACTCTCTCTCCTCCCAACGTTTCCTGTCACTCTTCAGCTGTCCTCTAATGAGCGGCTGTGGATCAGTGGTAGAGTCGGTCTCCTGTTTGTGCGACTGACCTCTGTGTGAGTGTGTGTGTGTGTGTGTGTGTGTGTGTGTGTGTGTGTGTGTGTGTGTGTGTGTGTGTGTGTGTGTGTGTGTGTGCTGCTGGTGAACCCTGATTGGTATGCAGCAGAACAACAGTCACTCAACGGCTAAACTTGAAACAACCAAAACTGAATAAAACAGCTGCAGATATTTAAAGTAGATAAAAGCTTCAACCTTTGCTTTTAATGCTTTTAATGCTTATATATCGAACGTTTTTGTGTGAAAGAAAAGCTACCTGATCTGTGTGAAGCAGCCTTTAGTTAAATAAGGATATCAATTACCTGGAAGTTTCGGGCCATGATGGATTTCCTGTCGTCCTCGATCTGTCTGAACTTGGTCCTCAGGCCCTTCATCTGGTTCTCCATCTTCATGACGTACTGGAAGTCTCTCTGCGTCCTCAGGTTCAGCACCTCGATCGACTGAGACATGTTCTGCACCTGGAAGACAGCATAGAAAACCTTATCACCTCATAGGATGTTTAAAAAGAACACAAAGCCTTGTTAAGTACAGTGTAGTGCGGTGCAGTAGTTCAGTTAACTCAGCAGGTGAATAAATGATGCTTTTCTTCTCTCCTTCCTTTCTTTCACTGCAGCTAATTGAAAGGCACTTTGATGGCGCTTCCCCAGCGAGCCTGCGAGTGTGTGTCTGAATGTGTAGAAAGGACTATTGCAGAAAAAGAACAAAAGGAGCAAAGCCTCGCAGGCTGTGTTAGTGAATGTGATAAAACCTCTGGTATTAGTGAGGAAATTACACTACTGGGAAGAATTCTGAAACTTTGCAGGTTTTTGGTGCTCGTTGCTCTCATCAGGACAGTTTGTCTGCCCGCATGCGCACGCTGCAGAGGTCAAAGCTCCATCAACACTTGTCCAGTGATGACCCTGATGAAGGCCACAAGCCGGAACCCTAACCCTAATCAAGTTGATCTTTAAGACCCCTTCAGATTTTGGTGGGCACTGTGCACAGCTCTCGAGCCCATAGTTGGCTATGTGTTGCACGGCGCATAGTCCATAGTGCATGCTGCGCAGATGTTTAAACATTTACAATTTGGGCACAGCTCTCCCTCATGACACCTCAAATCACAACAAAACGTTGTCCCACTTTCTAAAAGCTCTAGTTCGTAAAGACATGTCCGACAGTTTGGGAGTACCAGGTGTGTTTAAATCAGTAGCAGAAATGTGTGTAGTGTTCGTGCAGTGGTCGTTATAGAGCTGCAGCTCCTCTTACCTTCTCCAGCAGCTGGCGGAGCTGTCTGCTCTTTGCGTCTCTGGAGCACAGACTCTGTTCTGGAGCCACCACAGTGCAGATACATCGACCGTCCGCATCCTGAGCCGAGCTGTACACCTGCCATCCCTCCTTTGGGCCGATAGTCTGCAAGAACAAACACAACAAGAAATAAGAAATTATGTTCTGGATTTCATTTGTAGATGACACGCTGTCACATTTTTTGTCTTTTTTTGGATTCAGAGACAGACTGATTGGAGACAGGAAATGTTGGGAGGAGAGTGTGGGGGACGACATGCAGCAAAGGGCCGATGAGGAATACAGCGTCTGTACATGGGGTCCGCGACACATAACTGCTAGGATATTAGCGCCCCCAATTTATATTTTTTAGTGTAAAATGTCTACATATTAACCCTTTAAGTTTTGTTTTTATAAAGCTATACTCTGAACTTTTCATAAACCGTTTTTCTGAACACAAACTGCTTCAACAAGTGCAGAAATCAAAAGCTCTGCGGACACGGTGCGCTCAGTACCTGAGCTCTGATCGCTTGTTATCTCAGAGCGCGCTCTTAGCAGGCAGCTAGGGAACCCATGATGAGTGCAGTGTATTTCATAACTGCTTCAGTTAGAGTCCATCCTCTGTACAAACAACAAAGTTTTGTTCACTTTTAGAGAAATATTGTCTCTCAAACTTTTGTTTTCATATTCCCTGACATTAAGTCACTTCTCTCAGAACTTCATGATCTAAAGATAATCCAAAGCTCCTGGCCTTTCAGAATCCCGGCAGCTTCAATGCCTGAGCAGAAGATTTACAAAACTTTAAAAACTTTAAGAAGATGAACTTTGAGTAACTTTGTGTATTTTTTCACTGGTATTCAGAGAGCCTGAGTCCGTGCTTTAGCCAACACTTCAATTGTGCAAAAACAGAAAAACAATCCTGAAGACGTTGCGTATTAATATTCATGTACTTTTCCACCAAAAACTGCAGGTAAAGCTCGTCATCCACTTTAATCCCAGTGACATATCAGAGGAGAAGACGGTATGCTGGGAGCAGAGGGGCGTTATGAACAAACACGAGGACTGAAGAGGTTTCATGAAGGTAAATAGAAACTCAAAAAACACAAAGAAACCAGGACAGAGCTGACAGAGAGCAAAAAGAGGACCTGACTGTCAATTAGAGGAATACAGACGGAGGTAGAAAAGTAGGTACACAGACGGATATCTGAGCACAGAGAAGAGCAAAGACAGCAGGAATGAGAAGACAAGATGAGGTGAGGGATAAAGAGGCGGAGCTTCAATGTGCATTGAAGAGAAAACACACAGAGAAGTCAAATAAAGACGAGTCCATCAAACTGAGGCTTCATTATTGATTCAACTGATCCATGACGGGACATTAATATACAACAGTGTCTCTATACAAGCACTGACTGACATGACTTACTTACTAAACTCAAACTGAGAAACTCATCTGATACAGCAGCAGCAGCAGCAGTCCTATAAACACTTTAAAATATGATGATCTAGGCACCGCCCCCTCCAGTCTCAGCTTGGGGGGGCCAGTTAACAAGTCAGAAGGCAGAGAGGCAGAAAGAAATATTTAAACTTTGCAAAATAAAGCTGTCGAGGTTGTGCTATCTTAAACATGCAGTATATACATTCCACCACCAGGGGGCTCTCAATCAAAACAATAACAAAAGATGGCCCGGAGGCTGGCAGGGAATCATAGCCACTCCCCCCACCCCAACCCCGATGAAAACAACATCTGAGTCGATCGGTTTGACGTAACATCCTGTGTTTCCACGGCAATGATAAACATGTCGCGTCTGTCATGGTGGCCAGATCATGTATGGCAACAGGCAAAGTAAATCAACCAAGAAATCCAACTTCTCCTGGGGGGGTACAGAGGGGTTCTCAGGCCAAACGGATATATGTTCCATCGAGCGAACTCTGAAGGAGGACCTGAGACTGGAGGAGGACGTGAGACTGGAGGAGGACGTGAGACTGGAGGAGGACCTGAGACTGGAGGAGGACGTGAGACTGGAGGAGGACCTGAGACTGGAGGAGGACGTGAGACTGGAGGAGGACGTGAGACTGGAGGAGGACCTGAGACTGGAGGAGGACCTGAGACTGGAGGAGGACCTGAGACTGGAGGAGGACGTGAGACTGGAGGAGGACCTGAGACTGGAGGAGGACGTGAGACTGGAGGAGGACGTGAGACTGGAGGAGGACCTGAGACTGGAGGAGGACGTGAGACTGGAGGAGGACCTGAGACTGGAGGAGGACCTGAGACTGGAGGAGGACCTGAGACTGGAGGAGGAGTTTGATATCTTTGGAATCAGAGCGAGCTGGACTGTACGATGAATAAAACAACATGTTGTACTTTCTGCAGTTTGATGTCTTTAGATTTGTTTTCCTTTGAATTGTGTCGTTAATGAGGCGGAGGCTAATGTTCCCCTACTCGCCGTCTCTCTCCGTGTGCCGGGTAGAAGCTCAGACTGAGAGGCTGCCATGGTTTCACAGAGCTGAGCACAAAGTCTGCTCATTAATCATCCCACACAACGGCAGCTCAAAGCTTTCCCCAGCCAGCAGCACGCACACACACACACACACACACACACACACACACACACACACACACACACACACACACACACACACACGCATGAGTGGTCACATACTGTACACACACATACAATCACATTCAGGGCTGTCTGTAGTTCTTGGGGGGTTTGACGAACGGCTTTTTAAACACTTCTTCAATCTTGTGGACTTTGAATCTTCTTGAGACGTCGTTCATGACTGTCAAAGGAACAGAAGCTAAAAGATACTGTGGTGCCAAGGCCGTGTTTTCTTTCACACTCCTTCAATTAAACTTCAGTTATCACAACATCTGCTGTAAGATGAATCCACCCTCTCAAATCATTGTTTTTAAAATCACATCCATAAACATCCACAGAGTGCAATACATCAAAATGACCTTTCAACTGACACCTCGTTTGACCTCCCATTCACTGTTCCCAGCCAATGAGAGCCAATCAGATCCTGAGTTGAAAAGAGGTGCCTGCCCCTGTTCTGATTGTTTCTCTACCTGGCCAGTTGTACGCGACTGTGCCGATGACTGACGTTTCTTGTAGCAAATGAAATCCTGAACATGTAGATGTGTTGCTTCAATCAATAATAATAACCATCCCAAAAGCAGGAAGAGTTTTTCTAACACCAAACAGACTGTGATCAGTAACAAACTCCCGCCTTATTTCCACAGCAGGACAAATGTTTGAAGGATTTTCTGAAACATTTCAACACATTCTGAATCCGCAGATTGTTAGCTTTAAAAAAGACCTGATTTCTACTTTGACTACAAACAGTCTCTATGACATCAGTCAAAAACAATGGCCGCTGTATGACCATCAGTGCTCTGTTGCTTACGTACAAAAAAAAAGGACGCTGGGTGCTACACTTGTTCTCTGGGGTCCGCTGCCTGCATGTAGCTTAAACGCATTTCAGGGGCTGCAGGTTAGGGGGCGCTGTGGGGCCATTTTGTGATGCACATGTAAGAAAGCATCTCACGTAAACTTCACCTACTTTCCAAATATTGTGCAAAGTTTGTTGAGTTTTCGGAATAACTATTATGCTGATAATAACTCCTTCAGTTTCAGTAGGGTCCTCGCTCCCCTTCAGGGCGAGCTCGGGCCCTAAAAAGAAGATGGCGCTCATAAAAGGCCCTGACTTTTAATTGATAGCTTTCCTCTTCACATCTGAATCTGTCTGTCGGCAGTTCTGCTCTTCATTCTAGAAAGCGAAGATAAATACAATAAACAAATATGTGACGATATGGCTCAAATAAAGAGAAACGACTGCCTACAAAGAAAGCACTTGTTTGTGTGGTGGTTCCCCACGGGGTCGTGTAAGAGCCGCCTCTGTGGTTAAATGAGCTAATAGACGTTAGTGAGTGAAAGCTGCTCAGACAGCACGGGCCTGTAATCATGACTCATCACGACTTTATTACTTTTACTGCTGCACCAAAGGTCAGCCTCTCTTCTTGGTTACGGTTAATGTTGGACTTTATGAGGCGACCTGATTGAACTGTGAATTAGCGCTCAGACTTTCCCTGCCTCACTGAAGGCAGGAGTGACATTAACAGAGTTTTATAACATGACTGTGTCTGACAGCCGGCCAGAGAAGAAGAAGTGGAGTTACTGTGAACCTTATTCGACATGAAATGCTCCCGTTTTATCCTCTATTATCAAGACGCACGTTTATGTCTTTGTCTCTCGTGTGTTGTTGTGTTTACGGCTGCTCTGGTTTACTGGAAGTGGTTGACTTACATTAATATCACTGAAAGGATTCCAGTTTATTATCTGCTTTAGAAGACCTTGATTTCTGGAGTGGAGCCGGTACTTGCCTATAAAGCTGCCTCTGCTGCAGTTAGCTGCAGTCATACTGGAGGAGAGCTTTTATAGCCTCGTTAGCAGCACGGCTCTTTGCATCCAAGTCGCTCTGCAGCTTCAGACTTAAATATCTCTACAGCTGATGGATGGAGTACTGAGAAAGAATTTACCGACATTTATTGGCCCCTGAAAAATTTGTCTGTCAACTAGAGAGCCACTAAGATGTTGACCTGTTTGTTATTCATAGAGAAGCACCAATCCAACTTCTTTGTTATCAGTAACAACCCTAGAGATCTAAAAGAACAACCTCATTTCCTGAATTTGAATTTATAAAAAAAACAAAAACAAGCTACGATCTCCAAGCCGATGTTCCAGTGGGAAATCCTGCAGTTCCTCAAGTGTCCACTAGAGGCTGGCTGCAGAAGCACAGGACGTCACATACACACCCATTCTAAAAAGCCTGTTTTTACAGCAGAGATGAACATGTTTACAGCCTGGTTCAAAAAAACAAATAGGTGGGATTAGCTCATGTCTCGATGGACACACACTGTACGGGGGGTGAATGTTTTGATGACTCATCAGTTTTGATTTGATGAAGGATAAGAGTTATTCACAATAAGGCGTGTAGCTGACCTGATTGACAGGTGGGCGCAGTGTAACGGTTTGTCAGGAGGTTTAAAACCCGCCTCAGCTCCAGCTCTCAGCCTGTCGTTAGGTTGACTGAAAGTTAGACTGAGACAGCATTTATATCAATACCTG